AGAAAACTCCCAGTCGGATTTGGACCAAACAAGATCTTTGAAGACATCACCATAGATGGCCTCTTGTAACCTCTGAGTATAAATCACTATATGCGCTGACATTTCATACAGTGATTGATTAATTGTGAGAAAAAAATAGGGTACAATTTTGTTTTGTGTCAAACCAAACTTTGCTGCTAAGGAGGTCCAACTCTGCTAGCATTATGCTAATCTAATTATAAATGTAGCAATTTCACGTTCAAACATAGCCGTGGGAACATGTTTTAAATAGGGGGTGCTGTGGGGATGACACCAGGGCCGGTTTTGACCAATTTAGCCCTAGGCAAGATTTTAGCTGGCAATGAAAAACCTCTACAAAAGACCAATACACTACAAACAGAGAAACATATTGATATGGTGGACAGCTTATAGAAAAAGGCTTCAAATGTATTTAGTATTGCATGAACATGTTTTAATTGGGGGGTGGACGTTACATCCTCTAGGGGGGTCCGGGGGTTTTTTTTTTTTTTACATTTTAAAGTAAAATGTTTCAATCCGGTGCACTTTAAGCACCCAAACTAGAGACTGATCTAGGGGACACAACTCTAAAACACCCAAATGAAAAAGATCGGTTTGCATTTTAATAATCAAATAAGTATGTGAACATATCCAATAACCTACCATAGCCAATAACAAATAAATGTAGGCTAACTTGTTTTATTTTTGTGGTTCATTTATATCTTATTTTATCAGTTAACATTTATATATTTATGCATATTTTTAAATATCTCCAGTTTTAAACAATATTTTTGGTTTACTGTCCTATAGTATACATTAGAATGATTTGAAACCTGTTTTTATTTATTCTAATAATTATAAAGGAGTGCCTTGGAAATATTTGTTTACATAAATTGTGATCAAAACGTTTGAGACCCACTGAGATAATTTAGACTAAAGTGAACTATCTAAACACTCAGAGTCCTTTACCTCACTGAGCCTCTCAGTCTGACAGGAGAGCTCTCCCTCCACATTATTGTAGAAACAGCTTCTTATATCCGTTAGCGCAGCAGAAGCTAACAACATTCCCCGCCGGTACCGGTACACCCCCTCTCTCTATCTATCTATCTCTCTCTCTCTCTCTCACGCTGGCTGTGAGCTGCGGGCGCCTGATAAGCCAACATCCCCCACTTTCATCACTTACAGCGCCCATCGTACAGGGCAAATGGAAAATGTAACCGGGGTGAAAAGGGTGTTATCTTTACTTAATTATGAATGTTGTAAATCAAGGCTGAAAATTCATTTTTTTTGTATTATATTTGTATTTAATCTTGTGGAAGTGCACATCCCCTGTCCTCCACCAGGGGGTGCTGCAGCACCCTCAGCACCCCTACTTCCCACGGCCCTGCATTCATGCGCTATCTGTACATCCTTCATGCACTCAGTTCGCCCCAGGGCTAACGAGAGTGTTGCTGAAGCCCAACCCTGCCTTTATACCTAGGTGGTTGGTTCATGTACCCCAATTGACATTGAGGCATTTCTTCCGCCGCTGTGTCCCTCCGGGGAACAGCAGCCGAATTTGCTATGTCCAGTCCGTGCTTTACGCACTTATATGGATAGATGAAAAGAGTTTCGTCGTAATGACCAACTCTGCTGTGTCCCAATTCAGAGGCTGGGTCCTCCTGACCCTACGTCACCGGCAGTTACCCCTACATTTTGCCGCCCCCGTCACCTAGCAACCAGCTGCAGTCACAAGTGCCGGTAATAATTTCTGACACTAGGGAAAATATTTTCAAACTGTTTTCAAACTGTTTTCAAACTGTTTTCAAAACTGTTTTCAAAACTGTTCAATGTGGAGTCAGATCTAGCTGTACTTATTTTGGTGTTATATAATATGTTTAAATTATTTTCCCGAGGTCGCAACAGGCCCCCGTGAAGAGGGCTTCATTCTCCCCACGCATCTGGATAAATTGCGCAGTCTGCTCCTTGCTCCCTATCAAAACAAAATTGTTGCAGTAAGATTTGTATAACAAAAGCAGTTAAATAAATAAATTAGCTTTATAATGAATCCCAACAATATGAAAACCAAACAGGGTTTAGAAATATTTTCACTTCATATTATTTTATGTATGTAATATAAAGAAGACNTTTGACAGTCAGTCTGAGTCAAAAACTTCTTACCTGTATTCTTTTGTAAAAGATTTTTTTATGCCTGTATAAGAGTTCACCACGAGGTGTGTTAGGTGGGTTCCTCGGGTGGTGAACTCGGTCCATTTGTTCCATATTCTACATTTACAGTCATTTGATGATTTAATACGCTTTGTACATCGTTCGTATTTAATGTCGATTGCAACTACAATGAAACTTAGCGGCCAGATTCCCCAATTCGATTTGGCATCGTTCATCGATAATCGATCCGGTCTATTATAATATTTATTTGTGAAAACAGTATGTTAAGATTTAAATGTATCAATATCGAATGGACCATTAAAGTTCTTTCGAGAGACTCCTTTACAACTGAATGACAAGATAGTACTTCATCTTCGATGGAAATGTTATGTGTCAACTAGGCCTCAGACAGTCAATTTCACATAAGTATCAATCGAATCGATTCGTCAGTGGATCGTGGACTTTTATACCTACATACAACTAGTCAAATTAAAGACTATTTTTCAGTGGACTTGTACCACCCGTATCAACGGTGACGAAATGCACTAAGTTGTCGTACAAAATTACATAAACGTCGTTGTCATTTACACGACTCACAACCGGGTGACTGCAACGGTAATGTTGTGGACTTAAATTTACACGTATGGAGAAAAACACTGTCTAGAAAACGTTCTTATAAATATTTTAAGAAGAACTTATATAAGGAAACTGTCGATAAAAGATAACTGTAAATACTCTACCCTGTCGGTCTGCTCTTATTTATCTTTTATGTCAAATACTTTATAGTATATACTGTTATTTGTTTCCTTATGACAAATGTGCATCAAACAATTTTATAGGTAAATGTCTTTTTAGACAAATCTCAAGACAAGTAATACCCACGGTATCTAGAGAATTAAAAACGAGAGTTTCACGTGGTCTTAACTAGGAAAATTGATAGTTATAGAATTTTTTTTTTATAGGGCCCCTCGATATGGGGGCCTGGAGGCGTATCTCCTCCACTCCTGGGGGATTCATCATGCATGGTGCCACTAAACGTACGAAAATATGTTATACACACGATACGATTGGTAGTATATCTGTTTTAACACAAGGCTACAACACACGATCACTCTTGCGCCGATGTCTCACCTCCCCCCGAGGGGTTTCTTTTTTTTTTTTTTTTTGTGTTTTTACTTTTTTTTTTTTGGGTTTTTTACGGTTTCGAGCAATCCGGGGTTTCGATCACCGGTCCGGGACGATTATCCATTGTTAGGACTAAATTATTACAGAGTTTTGTTGAAACTGGATAACATTATAAAACGAATTCAAACTATGTGATGAAAGTAGGGTTTACTAAGGTAGTTTGCAATTTTGGATCTGATTTAGACAATAAAATTTAATAGTAACATTCCTTTCCCAGACAAAGTAAACCAATAGGACACATTACCGTGTGCAATGACACATGGGGACATATGTGAGGGAGGTCATAAAACCCACGATCGAGTCCTAGGGTAAGTAGACATAATAAACAGTAGGTCAAAATTTTCCTGTAACGATAATTTGATATGAAATTTGAGTAGGTTGACGTATAAATAATGCGTCCTACTTCCTAAAATATAGTAGTTTATACATACCAAAAGTCTCCTTTGTTAGGGTTCGTTACAAAATAATCGGCTATCCTTTGTGAATAGTTACTTCCGTGTCACGGCACCTTCATTCCCCACGACTCCCACGACGTCCGTGGGAGGACCACCTCTGTACTCCCTAAACACGTGTAAGGTGTCTTAATTTCTTTTATGTCTTTTAATTTATGTTTTTTTACCTAAGAAGTCAGGAACTACATTGTTGTAAGTATAACTGCCACTTTTTCTTTCTTAGTGGTGAACATATAGATTGGAACCACCAATAGATAATATAGTGTACAAACCAAACACCATAAAGCAGACGTCTAGCCGAAAATATTAGCTATCCCCGTCAACTTTCGTTCGTTCGTGCAAGATAAAGTTAGACGGAGGTTACGAAAAGACGAGCTGTTCAGTATAAGTAATAAAATGTGAGACGTAAACCACATTGTCACAGCTCACAGGATAGGTACCTGTCAGACAATAAGACAGATGTTTATTTCCATTCAACTCTCTGGTTGGTCTGGTGTCTTGCCTCTGTTGCATTCACTGAACACGGGAAATTACAATCCTGTCGTCCTCTCTTGTGTCATGATGAGGTTCAGTTAAAGCACGGTTAATGTATTATATTATTGACTCAATAATATAATACATGCCTTTGAGAGTAGGCAATCTAGGCATATTAACACAATTAATTAAACATACTTATCACGGCGACGGTGTACTGAGATTTTTTTTTCTTTTAAATAAAAAAAATATATTCTTTTTTTATTTTGCTAGGGGCCCCCTTAGTGGCTGTGGGGCCCTAAGCGGCCGCTTAATGGGTCGGGCCGGCTCTGCCTATTAGGCTATATCTTTAAAGCTGCTGTTTTAAATGTGAAAACAATGAAAAGTAAAGTATACAAACAAAAAATAGACTCCCAGAAATGACCCATTTCATCTGGAATAGCATAGGGCTGATTTAAACTCCCTCTGTTAGTCATAAATAAAAAGAAACCCATCATACAGCCTGAGAGAGAGCGAGCAGCTGCTGGACACAGTCTGTCTCTCAGGATTCATTCACAGAGAGAGGATGAACCTAGAGTTACACTTCAGCACCTTAACAAAAATATTCTTGGTTACACACTATAGAAATCTTCCATTTTCAGTTAAAGCTCGACCATTTTGTGTGAGGGGTCCCGTATGTCTGACCTACTAACACATTTCTGTTTAATAGATGGAGTGACGTCACGGAGGGGCGGAGTCACGAGCGTTCAAAACACAGCTTGGCCTCAATCCTGCCTGATTATTTTTGCTTCCTGCTTAATTTTTACGCTTATTTTCTCCTTTTACCAGTTATGTAAAGTGCTTAGCGCTTTGTAGCCTTTATTTATTTTTTCAGATTTTATATGATGAGGTTGCTTTCCGTATATTCACCAAAAAACACGTATTTCTCCCCCGGGATAGATTTCTCAAACAGCAGCCTACTGTTTGCTTGTTTGTTGCTTTCAAGGAATATGGACTAATTGAGAAACCGTATAAATGTACTTGCCGTCGAGGGGATATCCTGCGTTTGTAATCGAAGAGGTAAGACTGAATAAAAGGTGGAAGACAAATGTTTTCTGGCCACAACTGTTCAAGGGTCTGCAGCAGCTGCAGCTCATTATCCCGCCTGGATGCCTTTATCCTGTGTGTGTAAAATCCCTCAGCGGACTAAAGTCACACATATTTAAACGTTTTGCATGAAGTCTAGTTTTTCAATCCTGTGCTTCCATCCTTCGTAGACTGAATGGCGATGTTTTTGTGCAAACAGCGATTTCCTGCTGCATACTTGGCTCTTAGAGCAGAGAGCGGTATTTCTATTTACCATATTACTAAGGCGGCCAGAACTGATGCATTATGCACAGTAGGAATTCTCTAACATTCTTTAAAAATGTCCCAAACTTAAAGCAACTCTCGTGATTAGCTATATTTGTGTAGTAAGGAACATTTCTGTGTATTTAATCCTTTGTTGTCCTCAGTTGTTGGATGTAACTAAGTACTTTCACTCAGTACTGTACTTACTAAACTAACTTTATTATTTCCACTTTGGCTACATTATAGCTTACTTCTACTCCTCTACATCTCAGAGGGAAACCCTGTGATTTGACCTTCAGTAAATTAACTTGACTGCCATTGTTCACTTGTCACTCTCAGATTGATTTATTAAGAGACAAATATAGTGGTGTAGTTTAAGTTAGCCCCACCTTGACCATCTGCAACATTGAAGTGATTAATACATTTCACAATTGTATCACAGATAAGATTCTGAAATGTATCATTCTGCATAATTATTACATTTTTGATACTTTAAGTATCTTTTGAGACAACTTTTTTTTGTACTTTTAAAGTTTTTAATGCAGGGCCTTAACTTGTGACAGATTATGTATTAACTGTGGTAATAGTTTTCAAAACCAGTTGTCTTGCATCCTCATAAAATACAATAGAAGTGTACATTTCAAAAGATAAGAAATTCTACTGATATAACAGCTAAATTAAATGTTGTTTTTGTACTTGCATTTGAGTGAAAGCAATGGGCACTCATAGGAAAGATAGATGCTAAATGCATTTTTAAGAGAAGTTTATTTTCCCATTTTAATGTCTTATATGTTGCCTGTTCCTCTTCCTCCTCCTCCTCTTCTTCTCCCCAGGTGTGTGTGCCCTGGGTGCAGCCCAGCCTGTGCTGTGGTGGCGATGAAGAGCCCCGGAGCTGCAGAGAGCCGGCGGCTGGTCGTCCTGCTGGAGGCGGCCCTGCTGAGGGAGGCTCGTCTCTGGAAGGTACCGGTCTTCAAGAATGGATGCATCCAGGTAAGTCTAGCATCTTTCTAAAGCACGTTATAATGTCATTAAAAGCCTAAAATTGAACAGAAACCCTAATCTTGGTCCTCTGTCAAATGAAAAGTTGTTCTTGTGTGACGAAGCAACAAGATTCATGTCTTTTAATTTTTAAAGCTAACAATGAAAAAGTCACTTTCTGTAATAAGGAAATGAATAATTCAAGTACAAGCATGAAAAAGGAGAGTAAAAGCATTAATAGTAATAATCTGAGATCTAAAAAAGTGTGGCTTTTCATTAATTGCATGAAACTGACGTCCCAGTAATTACTATAATTGTGTCTTTCTTTGGGGCTTTTTTTGGATGGCCTGTACTGCCAACAACCTGAATTATTATCTTCCAATCATTTTCTTCTTTGAACTCTCAGGGTGGTGACGTCTCCTCATCCCAATATCAAGAAACTATCTTTTGGCTTGGAGAGATGAACCGGCTGTTCCACTTCTGTCCAGAAACGTTTGCACTGGGAGTCTGTGTCCTTACCCGACTGCTGTCCACTGTCAAGGTAGACGGCTGCAACTAACGATATTTGTCACTATTAATTAATCTGGTGGACATTTTCTCTGAGTTGTTTGGCCCATAAAGTATTTTTAAATTTGTTAAAAAATGACAATCCCAGTCTCTCCAAGCTGTTGACTAAACATTTCTAATTGTGTCAGAACATAGTATGATATAAAAAGTGTGTTTTTAAAGAAGCAGGGAAAAACATCTTGATTTCTGGTGTTTGTTTTGACATTCTTAGATTGTCCTGCTTCTGAAGAACTAAATAGAGTATTCTCTTTTCTTAGGCCCAACCCAAATACCTGAAATGCATTGCTTTCACCTCGTTGGTCCTGGCTGCCAAAATCAACGAGGAAGATGAGGTAAGATCTTTTCCTAAAGATATGAAGAAACACGTCAGATAACCAAACAAAACAACAACAGAAGTCAATGCTATTTCAAATCAATACGTTTATTTACTTCCCTATTTGTTTGTGTCTGTTTTAAACAGGTAATAGGTTCTGTTCAAGACCTGGTTGTGCAGAGCGGATGCAGCTTCTCAACAGCTGAGATTCTTCGCATGGAGAGGATCATTCTAGACAAGCTGCAATGGGACTTGTACACCGCAACGGCAGTCGACTTCATTCACATAGTAAGTTGGCAGATAGATGGGCAAACAATACTTTTATTTGTTATTCTTTTCCTGGACCTGAGTTGTCGGAGCATCTCATAGCTGGACCTGAAATGCTTCGTCAACTCTGGTCCCGGTCTTGCCTAAAACACAGCAGCACAAAAGCACACATTTTGCCATCATGCTTGCATCATGTTTGCTTCAAGACGGTATTTCACAAACCCCTACTCTCTCAGAAGAGATAAAGGTAAATTGGTCCTAGTAGAGATTGTGCATTTATTTGATTTCACTCATTGTTCCCATTTATTATAAACTCCATTCCGTCCAGCTTGGGGTGAACACGTTAAAACGTTTTAAGAGGTCTAGAGCAACTGTGCAAATAATAAAATGGGAGTCCGATTAGAACATAATGATACATTTAGTTTTTCAATACATCTGAATAGAATCAATAAAATATTGTTCTAAATAATGACGTAAAATAATCTACCTGACCTCAACACAGATAAAACCGAAATGTTTTGTTTTTGCGCACTTGTTCAATTGTTTTAAAGATCTAGGTTAACCGATGGAAATCACCTTGCTTTCAGTTATTGCTAACTCTAAAAATCACTGCCTTTTCCCTCTGTAAATATGATTTAATGTCAGCTTTCTGCAGCTTCAGTGCAGAAGTGACAATTATAGAATCTGTTGAATCTGATTGTGGACAAAGACCCAATCGGCGCAAGGTCTGAAGAGAGCTGTTTATTCCACATAAGTCTGCATTTGCAAGCTGCTAGCAAATAACAGGCATGTTGCATATCAGGCCAAGGCACTTCTGACTAACTCTAACTTCTGCCCAACTATTGATACCAAAACCCTGCTGGGTGGGGGTCGGAGATATAAGGTCCTTTTTTTTTTATTATTGGGAGACCTCGAGAGACTTAACAGACATGTGTTATCGTCAGGGAATCTATAACGTGCTCTGAATAGTTGACTGTCTTTTACGTGAAAGTAGGTTTGTCATTGTTAAAGGTCCCATGCTGTGTCACTGAGTTTATGGCACAATATTTTTAAACAGCCTGGAACTGTTCACAGTAGTTTATTGTTCAACCTTTACAAATCATTGCCTAAGGCAGTAGCCACTGACTGAACTGTATATGTGTGTATATACACACACACACACACACACACACACACACACACACACACACACACACACACACACACACACACACACACACACACACACACACACACACACACACTTTAGGTCCCTTCATGCTATCGCGCCCAGGGCTGTATTCATAACGCTTTTACTAAGAAAACATCCAGCACTTTATGGTAAAAGATCAGTAACTATAGCGCCAAGGAAACAGTTTGAACAACTCTTAATATGCTTCTCATAGGGCTGCATGTTATTAAATAGATGCATATATTACTTCTACATTCAACCTCAATTTGGTTATTGGATCTGTAAACTCTTTGTAAAAACAAACTCCAGTAACTACTTTCGTTTTTAGCCACACTAGCAGCACAGCTTTTTGGATCACAGTGAAGTTGACTTAAAACAATACAAACTGTTATTAAACTGAACATTACATCTTACTATGAATAAGGAGGCCAACAGTTTGGAGGCCAGCATAGTGACGCTTTATGAATACAGCCCATCAGTTTTCATTACAAATAGTTCCACAAGAGTTGGTATTGATTCACAATATTCAAAGGATGTCCATTGTGTCCGACTTGCTCAGTTCTAAGGATAAACATTCTCCACACAACAAATCTGACTTTTTTTTCTGAGCTTTGCATTCTGTTAGTCAAAAATCTCATCCCGGACCAAAGCACAGCTTCATTCCCTCAACAAATAAATGCCAGTGTTCGATTTGTTTGTGATATTGAAATTTGCGGAGGACTGATACATTTTCTTTAAAGCAGCAAACCATTAACTGTCACCGAAAAGCTGTTTGGCACATTTGAACTGATTCAGTGTCTTCTGCAGGACTAAAAATGGCATTTTCACAACTATAACGTGAATTGTACTGACATGGTGTCATAGGTTTACAGCGTGTTATTGATGTGAAGCTTTTATTTTCCTTGCACTTCACTTTATATATTCCAAAAGATATTTGAACATAAACAGACATAAAGCACCACTAAAAACTATATTAAAATAAAGAATTTCTCTTTTTATACTATTCAAATAAATATTTTTCAAATACTTTTGAACAATACTGTAATTACCTCACAATGACATTCCCCCCTGCCTTGAAGAAATAACTCTGCATTCCCTTTTTCTAAATAAAGTGGTATTCTCCTTTTTTCTATAAAACAGCTATCATTAAAATCTATCTATTATTGGTCACCATGACACTTTGATATATATATAAATAAGAGGATTTACAGAGATGCTTTGTCATCGGCTCTCAATATTCTTAAATATCCAAGTGAAGCTCTTTGAAAGGCAGAATCCGCTATGTGGCTCTCAAATCTTTCACCGTCTGAGACTGTATCGGGCTGTCCAATCGGAACACAAAGCTTCCTTTGTTTGCTACGTCAGCCTGAATATTCCCTGCATTCCCATAGTGGAGTGAAGAATGAAAACTTGAGGAGGCAGTTTAGAAAGTTTGAAGAAGTCGAGAGCTGTTTTTAACAAATTCCTTTTTGAATTTGGCACCACATTGCTGAATCTACCTTCTTTAAAAACCCATGGCTTATTTTTGCTACCGAGTAAGAGACAAAACTAAAGCAAATGACACAACATGATAGACATTTGGCTGTAACAGAGAAACATCACAATAATGTGTTGGGGTTTTTTCTTCTGTTTTCTGGTCACTTTGTGATAAGACTAAGAAGAACTAAAACTCAAAGTGTCCTTTAACATCGAGCCTCAGGTTGTGAATTACAGTTCCGGCCTACAAATGGGAACACATACGCACTGCTTGACGATACCAACAAGATTACTATGATTCCTCAGGCCAACGGGTAGGTCTTCATAAGTTAAACCTCATGATGGGATGCTCTATCTGTTGATCAAAGTGTCTATCAGCAATGAACACTTGAGAAGAGAACCACAGACTGCGAAAGGGACATTGTCCTGGGTGGATGGGATGAAGGTTGGGTCAAAGGAATGAAAGATGTTTTGTGAAGGTTGGACATTAAATGCATTGATGTATGTCATGTTGATAAGAGGTAAAGGGTGAGCAATGGATGGAAGATGACAACAGTGACATCATTATGCTAACGTTTTGGTCTCGTTCCTCTCCACTTCCCTGCTCTTCTCCGCTGTAGTTCCACGCCCTGCTCGTCTCCGGCCACCCTCACCTCGCTCCGTCCATCGGGCTGGGTTCCGCCTCGGACCCCGGGTCGCCTGCCGCGGGGCCGGGGCTTCAGAAGAGGCCTGCGGGGCTCCAGGCGGCGTTGTGGACCAGGCAGGTGCAGCACTGTATGGCCTGCCACCAGCTCTGGCAGTTCAAGGGCTCCACGTTGGCCTTGGCCATCATCACCTTGGAGTTGGAGGTGCTCACGCCCGATTGGTTCTCCGTATTTACCAACCTGCTGAAGAAAGCGCAGGTAAGAGAAAAGCACAGGCTCCTCCTCCATGATTATAGTTGGTTTGAGTGAAGACAATGTGACATTATACCCACAGAGAAAATGTATACCAGAGCCCAACTGTGCTGGGGTTTGGAAGACTTTAGCTGCAAAAACATTGGAAACTGAAAAGAAACTAGTTGATTCAAAACAAAGATATTGCTTTACATTAAAGTGGACCTATCATGCTATATTTGAATAATATAGTGTAGGACCATACCTATATAAGGCATTTTTATACTTTTTATTTTTCAAAATACCAAACAGATCATGCATTTTAGCCATTCCTCATTTCGCTCAATTTAACACTGTCTTTGCATGGGCTGATTCTGTGAGAACAGCACCACCTACAGGCCTGCCATATGTACTACAGCGTCTCCAGCGCTTTCCAACGGCAATGTCCGTGGCTGTCTCCTCCTGATTGGTGGAGTTGGCCCAATAGCCGTAGCGCCACTTCTGTGACGTCATAGAAGTGTTCAAATCTGGATCAGTCTGTATCAGATCCGTTGCAGCCCCTTTTTAAGAGATTTGGGTATGGAGGAAAAGAGAGAGGGTTGTGTTTTCTGACGGGGACACATGTTCATGTATAAAAGACGTACAAAAGTGCATTTTGCATGATAGGTCACCTTTAATATAAAAGATAATTTAGAATTACATATTTTAAGAAATTATTAGAATCGTTTAGTTTTCAAATGTAAACCCTTTCACTGAGCACATTTGTTTCAAATACTTAATAACCAATGTGTCTAAGTATACAGTATACACTAAAAATGATGTTTTACTCTCAAAAAAGATGCAGTACATAAACTTCAATGTTTCTCCACGCCAATCATTAGTCAAAAATAATCCTGTTTTGATAAAAAGGATGAATAAGGGTTTAAAACTCCCCAGAGGAAAATCCATTTACCATGGATGACCAGTTCTCTTTAAGATGCCAGTCCTTGTTTTTATCTTTAGATGTCCCACGCTATTTTGAAAAACCTCTCGCACCTTTTGCAGTGCAGAAACAGCATCAATTATGCTCCATACTGCTGGGTGTTTTGGATAAAAGAACAAATGCGGCTTCATGCTGCCCAAAAGTGACAAACACGCTTATTCAGGTCCATCATGATCACACTGAGGAAGCTGAGAGAAGGGAAGAGTATTTTAGTCAAATTAGACAAAATCACAATCCCACACTAGGTAAACACTTACACCCCATTTTAGGGTCAATGAAAGCTCAGTTTTCCACAATGGTCCTCTCAGAAAGGACTCTCCTTCTGAAGCAGCTCACACACATTGTGATGTTTTTGCTCTCCCAGGTGGACAGTGGCGAGTTCATCCACTGCAAAGAAATGGTGGACGAATACCTTCAGAGCCTGGAGTTCTCCCTGCCGCCCAACGCCGTCTACATCTTCAACAGCGCCCTGATCCCAGACCAGCAGCGAGCCTGGAACCCCACGCTGCGCCTCAGGAGGGGGCGGGCGGGCTGCGCACGGCAAGGGGACACGGACGAGTTCTACGACGGCTTCAGGTGTTTGTACAGCGAGGAGACGACTCAGCAGGGAAACAATGTCGATTCCCAGCAGAAAAATGTCTCGCCCTGCCCGCCTCTGCACCCCGCCCTCAACTAGAGGGACGTTTATTCACACCGTCCTCCCATCTCACATGGAGAATGTCCAATATACTGTAGTTCAGCACATCTAACAACCTCATTTGCAAGTTTTGCTGATACCGAGATGTTCAACCTGCAAAAAACTTTACAAATTGGTTCAAAAGGAGATATTGTTTTGGATTCTACCGTGCACTTGTCCACACAGAAGTCTGGAGGTGTGTATGGATCAGAGGTATTCTGACGCTGTTACTTTTTTTAGCGGGACAGAAATGATGTTTCTCTTTTGGTGCAGAGTTAACGGTCCATTTAAGTTCTCAAGCTATTATTATTGCCATATTTTCTATTTTCAAATATACCTGTCCTTAAATATCCTCCACAAATGGTTCAAGTGTTAGGTCAAAGAAGAAGGATTAGGCAGTTATGTGTGTTTTTATGAGTGTGGTTGAAGCCCAAGAGCGGCTTTTTTTTATGTTTGAGTTGATCCTGATTTAGTTTGATGTGAGGCGTCATGGTGTTCAGGTTCCTCCAAGGACCACGTAGCACCTTGAGATAAAGACAAGCTTTTTTTTTTAAGAAATACTAAAAATATATATTTTTTCAAAAGCTTTTTATTATTTTAATATTTTTACCTTCTTGTATTAATTTGTTTTTTATTTAGCAATTATTTACAAAAGCCACATTTTCCAAAATGTTTAATTTCCTGACTAAATGCTGCACATGTTTTTATTTCCTTAATGCTTCAGTCTGTACTGATTTGCTTAATGTGACTATTGTTGCATCAAACAAAGCAGGAGCACCTTAGGGAGATTAGTTTAATACTAGAGCAGAACATCATGAGATCACCTGATTGATGATCCTGGGATCATCAAGTAAATCAGTAATCCTGGGATTACTGATTTAAATATTTCTTAATGTATGACAGTGCCACAAATCATACACCAAATATTGTCAAAGTATTGGATAGAAATATCCTGATTTTATTTGTAAATACCACATATGTCTGTTTCATCCCGATACTGAAATGTTTCCTTAACGGGTACAGAATATTATGTTTTCAATTTAAACTGACTCTCTGCTGCCTTACTGTGTGCAGAGGTCAGAAACGTGAGATAATGTGAACCAGTTACTGTCTGTTTCCTCAACTGTGAAGTATGTTGCATTTATCAAGTCAGGCTGGAAGCAGCACAGTGTGACCAATGTAAAGGTTGTTTCCATTTCTTCATTTAATGAGGCAGCTATCTTTATCGTCTGGTCAACCACAGAAATAAAGCTATGACTTGACAAGTCTAAAGTGGTATTTTCATTTTTGTCACTTTGAGGTTGGACGGTCTATGGTTTCTTCCTGTGTCAGAGATTATTGTTAATCTATGTTATTGGTCACATTCAAAACATGAGAACTAGAAGCTGTAACATGAACTTATTTAAGTTAAACTTCTAGAAGTTCACAAAATGTTGAGTGTTTTGAGTTTGAATTATTAAAACAAAGTAAAGGTAAATTCAACTTTTTTTTAAGCCCTAAATAAGTGCACATATCACTAAATGTACCAAAAATAATACATTTAGGAATCAATTGATCACATACATTGAGGCTACTGTTTTAATTTTGTTTGATTAATTTCCTTTGTACCAATTCCCTTAGTATTTAACCAACTTCTCAATTTTTGCCTACAGCACTATGCCTCAGCCCATAAGATGTGTACACAGTGTCGGTGTGCATCGTGTCCTGAATGTAGAACAGAGAGCCATTATCCCTCAGCTGCTAGCAGAGTGTTTGTGTTCTAAAGGATAGAGGGCTGTGAACACACTGTCCTGCTGGAGCAGATCCAGTGAGCCCTGCTGGAGCAGATCCAGTGAGCCCTGCAGGTGGTGGAGGACAGAATAATAACAGTGCTTACAGAGCCATCACCGTTTACACAAAACCATTCATCTGGGAAGAGCTGAACACTGGGTCCTGACTTCCTCCGTCTGTTTTCAAAGAATAACACACTTGTTCAGTGCCGTACAAAAGAAATTCAACTTCCGATGTTCTTAGAACTTCAAAAGAAGTGACCTGAGAAATTGTGATGGGAATTGTTCACCTTTTCTGCAGTTTTATCCCAAACAGTAGCAGTAATCGTTAGATGAGCATGTTTTATATTATATTCTAAAATAATATTTACCAAATCTAATACTTTTGCAAAACATAAGGGATGTATTTTGGATTGTATAGTATGTTATATCTTAATTCAAAATACCTTCAATTAATGTGTACTAAGCACATGAATTTAATATGCCATATATTACAATGAGTTAAATTCTTGCCACAATTTGATTTTAAACTGATACCAATAGTTAAATGAGGAAACACTATTTGATCCGTCTTCACACAAGAATGATGTGTACAGACTTGTTTTTGAATTTGTAGACAGCGTAACAACCAGCTGCAATTTGTGTTAACCCGCTTCCTGTACACCCACACGTCACTCCCAACCACCGTCATCTCCCTGAAACTTACACACCTCTAAAGACCTACGTCTTTTACACATGTATTCCTCCACCTTTAGCAAACACACACATTGTTAAAGCAATGGGGGGGGG